GAGGGGTCGCTAACCCTTGTGCCCCCCAGGAGGATGACGGGGGTCCCCGCTCGGCCCCGGGGGGTCTCCGCCAAAACGACAAAGCCCCCTCCCCAATTTCCCCAAGTCTGGATTTTTGGGGGGATTTTTCTGATTTTGGGGGGATTTTGGGTTTTTTTTTTTTTTGGGGAGGGGTCGCTGACCCGTGTGCCCCCCCAGGAGGATGAGGGGGGTCCCCGCTCGGCCCCGGGGGTCGCGCCCCCCGCGCCCCCCGCCGCGCTGACCCCCACGCTGGCGCTCACGGTGTTCGCGGCCTCGCTGAGCTCGCTCGGCTTCGGCTTCAACATCGGCGTCATCAACGCGCCCCAGAAGGTCGGAGACCCCTCCCCAAATTGGGGAGACCCCTCCCCAAATTTGCCACAGATTTGGGGAGATTTGGGGCCATTTTGGGGTGGTTTAGGGGGGATTTTGGGGAGATTTGGGGCCATTTGGGGGGATTTGGGGGGATTTTGGGGTTGGGGATTGGAGGGGAAGGGGTTAAAGGGGTGGGGCGGGGCTTAACGGGGTGTGGTGGAGTGGGCGTGGCTTAAGGAGGGGAGGATTTGGGGGTGGAGCTTAAAGAGGAGGGAAGGTGTGGGCGGGGCTTGAAGGGGAGGGGGATTGAGGGCGGGACTTGGAGGGGAAGGGGTTAAACAGGTGGGGCGGGGCTTAATGGGGTGTGGCAGAGTGGGCGTGGCACAAGAAGACGAATTGTGGGCGGGGCTTAATGGTGATTGCTTGTGGAAGGGGCGGAGCTCAAAGGGGAGGGAAGGGGAGTGGGCGGAGCTTAGGTAAGTGAGGCGTTGTGGGCGTGACTAGAAGGGGAGGGGTGTGGAAGGGTTGGGCAGGGGGCGGAGCTTAGAGGGGAGTGGTCAAGTGGGTGTGGCCTCAAGGGGTGGGGCCTAATGGGTGGAGCTTCAGAGGCGTGGTCACCCTGCCCGTGGCCACGCCCCCTCCCCTCCCCCTCTCCCCAGGAAAGGCGCCCTATTGGCCACCAATGGCCTGGCTGTGGTGGGCGGGGCCCTGATGGGCGGGGCCAAACTGGGCCCCACCTACATCCTCATCATCATCGGCCGCTTCATCGTCGGCGCCTACTCGGGTACGGCCTCACCTGGGGGCGTGGCCTGGCCGGGGGGCGTGGCTTGGCTCTGGGGGCATGGCCCATATCTCTGTGGGTGTGGCCTATAACTATGGGGGTGTGGCCTAACACTATGTGGGCTGGGCCTTGCTCTGTGGGGGTGTGTCCTGTCTCTATGGGGGCGTGGCTTAGCGCTGTGTGGGTGTGGTCAGGCTCTCTGAGGAGTGTGCCTTGGTTTTTGGGGGTGTGTCTTTTAGGTAGAGGGGCGTGGCCTGGCACTGAGTGGGAGTGTCCTGTCTCTATGGGGCGTGGCCTGTCTCTGTGGGCGTGTCCTGGCCTTGGGTGTATCTTCTGTCCCTATGGGGGCGTGGTCTAGCTCTGTGTGGGCGTGGCCTGACTCTGTGTGGTGTACCCCTCCATGGGGGCGTGGCCTGTCTCTGTGTGGGTGTGTCCTATCCCTATGGGGGCGTTTCCTGGCTCTGTGTGGGCGTGGCCTGACTCTGTGTGGTGTACCCCTCCATGGGGGCGTGGCCTGGCTGTGTGAGGTGTGCCCTCTCCATGTGGGCGTGTCCCACCCCTGTGTGGGCGTGTCCTGCCAGCAGAGCCGGGGCGCGCCGCGCCAATGCCGGCGCGGCTGGCCGTGTCGGGGCGTGGCCTGGCCGCGCGGGGGGCGTGTCCCCCGGCCCGGAGGGGCGTGTCCCGGCTGACCCCGCCCCCGCAGGGCTGGTCTCGGTGCTGGTGCCGCTCTACGTGGGGGAGGTGGCGCCGCTGCGGCTGCGGGGGGCGCTGGGGACGCTGCACCAGCTCGGCATCGTCCTGGGCATCCTGCTGGCGCAGGTGGGCGGGGTCCCAGGGGTGGGCGGGGGAGGTGGCGCCGCTGCGGCTGCGGGGGGCGCTGGGGACGCTGCACCAGCTCGGCATCGTCCTGGGCATCCTGCTGGCGCAGGTGGGCGGGGCCCCAGGGGTGGGCGGGGCTTGGGTGGGCGGGGCTTGACTGGGAGGGGGGGTTATGGGCGGGGAATGGGTGGGAGGGGTCGTTGTGGGCGGGGTTTGTGTGGGGAGGGGTCAGTGGGGTTGATACACCTGCTCTGGGGGGTGTGAGTAGGTGGGGATTGGAGGGGTGGGCGGGGCTTGGAGGAGCGTTGTGGGCGGGGCTTGGTGAGGACGGAGGTGGGAGTGGCTTTGTGTGGGCGGGTATTGAGTGGGAGGGGCCATGGGGAGTCCTGGGGATTGAAGTGGGTGGGGCTTAATGGGGTAGGTGTGGCGTTGGGGGCGGGGTTAAGTGGGAGTGGCTTTGTGTGGGCGGGGCCTGATGGGGAGGGGTCATTGGGGTTCTGGGGGAGCAGATGGGTGGAGCCTCGGGGGGGCGGGGCTTGAGCGGGAGGGGTCTTTGGGGGTCCTGTGGTGCATGTGGGTGGTGCCTGGTGTGTGGGCGTGGCTTTGAGGGGGCGTGGCCGAGGGTCCTGGGCGGATTTGGGGTCAGGGCTGAGGGGGGCCCTGAAGGGATTTTGGGGAGCTCAGGGGGGGAATTTGTCATCCTTGGGGCAACAGATCGCGACACAGCCCTTCCCGCCACGATATGTCGCAAACCCCCTTCCCCTATCGCGACATACCGCCATTTACAGCCGCATATCGCCCCCTTCTGGCCGCCTATCGCGCGATACCCCGCGATATCGCGCGATATCGCGAGCCGCGCCGCCTCCTCCCGCAGGTGCTGGGGCTGCGGGCGCTGCTGGGGACGCCGAGGGCGTGGCCGGCGCTGCTGGGGGCGGGGCTGCTGCCGGCGGCGCTGCAGCTGCTGCTGCTGCCGCTGTGCCCCGAGAGCCCCCGGTTCCTGCTGGCCCGGGGCCAGCGCGGCCGCGCGCGCCGCGGTGAGTGCCAGCCTTCGGCCTCGCGGGGCCCGCCCGAGGTCTTCCTCCACCCTTCCTCCTCCTCTTCCTCTTCTCCTCGTCCTCGTCTTCCTCCGGTCCTGATTCTCCCTCCTTCGTCCCCTTCGTCCTCCTCTTCCTCTGTCACAGATTTTCTTCCTCCTCTTCCTCACTCCCGATTCTTCCTCCTCTTCGCCTTCGTTTTCCTCCTCTTCCTCACTCCCTTTTGCTCTCCTCTCCCTCCTTCATTTGCTTCCTCCTCCTCCACCTCCTCCTCTTCCTCTTCCAGTTCCTGATATTCCTCCCCACCTTCATCTTCCTCCTCTATCACCTTCATCCTCCTCTTCCTCTCTACCAAATTTTCTTCCTCCCCGCCTTCCTCTTCCTCTTCCTCAATCCCCGTTCCTCCTCCTCCCCACCTTCATCTTCCTCCTCCATCCCCCTTCATCTTCCTCTTCCTCCATCCCTGTTCTTCCTCCCTGCCCTCATCCCCTTCTTCCTCCTCTTCCTCTGTCACAAATTTTCCTCCTCACCTTCCTCCTACTCTTCCTCCTCCTCTTCCTCTTCCTTTTTCTAAATTCCCATTTTCTCCTCACCTTCATCTTCCTCCTCTTCCTCTCTCCCCATTCTTCCTCTTCCTCCATCCCCCCTCTTCCTCCTCACCTTCCTCTTCCTCTCCCTCTCCCACCCCCTTTGTCCTCCCCTTCCTCCTCACCTTCATCCTCCTCCTCACCTTCATCCTCCTCTTCTTCACTTTCCTTCCTCTTCCTCCATCCCCATCCTCCTCCTCACCTTCATCTTCCTCCTCTTCCTCTCTCCCCGTTCTTTCTCTTCCTCCATCCCCCTTCTTCCTCCTCACCTTCATCTTCCTCCTCCTCCTCCTGACCTTCATCCTCCTCATCCTCACTTTCCTTCCTCTTCCTCCATCCCCATCCTCCTCCTCACCTTCATCTTCCTCCTCCTCCTCTTCCTCCCCTTTGCCTTCCTCCCTCCCCCTGATCCCTCCTCCTCCTCCCCTCCCCCCATATCACAACAAGCCCCGCCCCCTCTCTCCCCAGGCCTCTCGCGATTGGCCGGCCCGGCGGCGGAGGCGGGGCTGGCGGCGCTGGAGGCGGAGCTTGACCAAGGCCCCGCCCCCAAGGTGGGGCTGCTGGAGCTGTGCCGGAGCCGGCGCTACCGGCAGCCGCTGATCGTCACCCTGGGGCTGCAGCTGGCGCAGCAGCTCTCGGGGATAAACGCGGTAAAAATGGGGAAAAACGGCCAAAATTGGGAAAAAACGGGCAAAAATTGGGAAAAAACAGCTAAAAATTGGGAAAAACGGGCGGGAAACTGGGAAAAACGGGTGGAAAATAGTTAAAGTGGGCGTGGTTAAAGGGAAAGGGGTGTGGCAGTGGGCGGGGCCATGAACATCGCTCTGGCGCAGCAGCTCTCGGGGATAAACGCGGTAAAAATGGGGGAAAACAGAGAAAAATTGGGAAAAAACAGCTAAAAATTGGGAAAAACGGGCGGGAAACTGGGAAAAACGGGTGGAAAATAGTTAAAGTGGGCGTGGTTAAAGGGAAAGGGGTGTGGCAGTGGGCGGGGCCATGAACATCGCTCTGGCGCAGCAGCTCTCGGGGATAAACGCGGTAAAAATGGGGGGAAAAGGCCAAAATTGGGAAAAAACGGGCAAAAATTGGGAAAAACGGGCGGGAAATAGTGAAAAATGGGCGTGGTTAAAGGGAAATGGGCGTGGCAGTGGGCGGGGCCATGAACATCGCTCTGGCGCAGCAGCTCTCGGGGATAAACACAGTAAAAATGGGGAAAAACAGCTAAAATTGGGGGAAAAACGGGCTAAAGATTGGGAAAAATGGGTGGAAAATAGTGAAAAGTGGGCGTGGTTAAAGGGAAATGGGTGTGGCAGTGGGCGGGGCCATGAACATCGCTCTGGCGCAGCAGCTCTCGGGGATAAACGCGGTAAAAATGGGGAAAAAAGGCCAAAATTGGGAAAAAACGGGCAAAAATTGGGAAAAACGGGCGGGAAATAGTGAAAAATGGGCGTGGTTAAAGGGAAATGGGCGTGGCAGTGGGCGGGGCCATGAACATTGCTCTGGCGCAGCAGCTCTCGGGGATAAACACAGTAAAAATGGGGAAAAACAGCTAAAATTGGGGGAAAAACGGGCTAAAGATTGGGAAAAATGGGTGGAAAATAGTTAAAGTGGGCGTGGTTAAAGGGAAAGGGGTGTGGCAGTGGGCGGGGCCATGAACATCGCTCTGGCGCAGCAGCTCTCGGGGATAAACGCGGTAAAAATGGGGGAAAACAGAGAAAAATTGGGAAAAAACAGCTAAAAATTGGGAAAAACGGGCGGGAAATTGGGAAAAACGGGTGGAAAATAGTTAAAGTGGGCGTGGTTAAAGGGAAAGGGGTGTGGCAGTGGGCGGGGCCATGAACATCGCTCTGGTGCAGCAGCTCTCGGGGATAAACGCGGTAAAAATGGGGGGAAACAGCCAAAATTGGGGGGAAAATGGTGAAAAATTGGGAAAAACGGGCGGGAAATAGTGAAAAGTGGGCGTGGTTAAAGGGAAATGGGTGTGGCAGTGGGCGGGGCTATGGTGTCACCCTGGGGCTGGAGCTGGCGCAGCAGCTCTCGGGGATAAATGCGGTAAAAATGGAAAAAACAATCAAAAATTGGGAAAAAATGGTTTAAAATTGGGGGAAATGGGACAAAAATAGTGAAGGCACCCTGGGGGCTGGAGCTGGCGCAGCAGCTCTCGGGGATAAATGCGGTAAAAATGGAAAAACAATCAAAAATTGGAAAAAAATGGTTTAAAATTGGGGCAAATGGGCTAAAAATAGTGAAAAGTGGGCGTGGTTATTGGGAAAGGGGTGTGGCAGTGGGCGGGGCTATAGTGGCACCATGGGGCTTCCTGGAGGTGCAGTAAAACGGGGTGTGGCTTAAGAGGGCGTGTCCTGACCACGCCCCTTTCCTGCCCCAGATCTTCTACTATTCGACGTCCATCTTTGAGGGGGCGGGGCTTCAGGACCCGGCTGTCGGCACCATCGGAACGGGCGTGGTCAACGTGGCGGCCACCGCCCTGTCGGTAAGCCACGCCCCCGGCCACACCCTCCTTGGGGGTGGGGAGGGGTCCTTTGTCACCCTAAGGGGGTGCGGGGTTACCCATGGGTGGGCGTGGTCATGAGTGGGAGTGGCCTCATTGTGGGTGTGGTGATTGTAGGCGTGGTCTCATGATGGGTGTGGTCATGAGGGGGAGGAGCCTCGTGGATGGGTGTGGCCATTAGGAGAGTGGCCTTACAGTGGGCGTGTCCCACCCTGAACCTCTCACTGAACCCCAAAAATCCAACCCTGGACCCCAAAAATCACCTGGGACTCCGAAATCGCCTGGGCACCCCAACATCCAACCCTGAACCCCAAAATCACCTGGGCACCCCAAAAATCACCTGGGACCCAAAATCTAACACTGAACCCCGAAATCACCTGAGCACCCCAAAAATCTCCTGAGACCCCAAAATCCAACCCTGGACCCCAAATTCACCTGTGCACCCAGAAACTCACCTGGGCGCCCCAAAAATCCCAAATCCAACCCTGAACCTCTCACTGAACCCCAAAAATCCAACCCTGGACCCCAAAAAATCCAACCCTGAAACCTCAAATCTCACCTGGGCATCCCAAAACTCACCTGGGCACCCCAAAATCCAACACTGAACATCTCACTGAACCCCAAAAATCCAACCTTGGACCCCCAAAACTCACCTGGAGTCCCCAAAAAATCCAACCCTGAAACCCCAAAATCCAACTCTGAACCCCAAAACTCACCTGGGCACCCCGAAATCCAACACTGAACATCTCACTGAACCCCAAAAATCCAACCTTGGACCCCCAAAACTCACCTGGAGTCCCCAAAAAATCCAACCCTGAAACCCCAAAATCCAACTCTGAACCCCAAAACTCACCTGGGCACCCCGAAATCCAAACCTGGACCCCAAAATCCAAGCCTGAAACCCCAAAATCTCCCCTGGAGACCGAAAAAATCCCAAATCCAACCCTGAAACCCCCAAATCCCCAAATTTTCACCATTTTCTCCCTTAAGAACCCAAATTTTTCCCCATTTCTCCCCAAAAAATCCCCAATTTCCCCCATTTCTCCCTTAAGAGCCCCCAAATTTCCCCCATTTCTGCCCCTAAAAACTCCTGATTTTTCCCTATTTCTCCCTCCCCCCAAAAAATCCCCAATTTCCCCCATTTCTCCCTTAAGAGCCCCCAAATTTCCCCCA